CAGCCCAATAAAATATTTAAGGCATGAATTGATTCGAAATTTTTTTTTGCAATTAAAAATTTATTTTCTTTATATAATAATAGATAATAAATTTTTAACACTAGGATGAGTAAGTGGGTTTTTATTCTATAATAAATTCAAGTTATAAATTATTTAGATCAGTTCACTCAAAGGAAGACAAAACCCAAATAAAAAAGTGTTTGAACTCTTCCTCAGGTCACAAAGGAATGATGAAATTAGTTTTTATTGTAGATTTAAAGTATGTTCGTTATATCTGGAAGTTTGTTTAACATGAGAATGTATTTTATATGTTATAGTTTAAACTTTGAATTTTGTTTGTAAATTGAAACAGTGAAGCACTCAAAATTTAATCTTTAATGCGAATTCAACAAAATTACCCCTTATATAACCGATGATTCATAAGTAATGTAGAAATAGGAGGCATCATACAATATAAATAAAAAAAGATTAATCTTAATTCGGAAGAGAATTTAGGAAAATTTACTAGTGTTTATTTTCTTTTTACTTTGAGGGTGCTAAAACTTTTTAGACCTCCTATGGTTGCGCCATTGGATTAATTAATTAAAATATAATTTTCAAATTTCTAAGATTACTCGAGATTACTCGAGGCTGTTAAATATAACACAGGGAAAGTATTGCGATAGGTCAAAAAAATAACTCCCCCAAGACTTTTACACTTTTGGGCTCAGGTGAATTTGAAACGTCGAGAAATGCAAAAAGCATTGGAGATTTTTCTATGTATTGATGTTAGTGTGTGAGGGACACAATTTTTTTACTCACTTTAAAGCTTAATATATACCTGTGCTTTTGTCCAAAATTTCTGAAATTTTTTAATGGAGATTTGTGTATTAGAGGAATTGATGCTATTAAATTTTGATGGTTAAAGGTCGAGAGATGGGGAGATAAAGAGGGATCATTTCTCGTATCTCCAATGAGGCAGGACTTCATGAAGATTTTATTTTATTTTTAGTACAGTGAAACATGGTTAACTCGAATCGGTCAGGAAAAGAAATTGGAGTTAAATAGCGCCTGCACTGGTTATATACGAATATATTAGCCGAAAAAGTAAAATGAAAATTTAGCTACGAATAATACATTACAGTCAAAATTAAAATTTGTATATCTTGTATTATCTGTTTCTTTTGTCTATTCTCCTATCTCTTTACCTTTAAAAAATATAAATAAAAATTATAAGTCAACTACATATATAACATATATATAAACAATATAATTAACATGTTCCAATCTACATATGCGCGTACAGCATACATATCGTAGTGGTATAGCTTTAACATATCCTTCTAGGGAACCCGGGCGGCCCGAATCGAGGGAATTCAGAAATTTTTTGGAGGTGTCATCTCAGATATGTCTTGATGTGGATCTTCGCTACCCGCCTACTACCATTGTAGGCCTGATCAAACTTCTGATGGTCTTGTAAAAGGGCCCTCCTAATGCCCACGGAGATAGGGGAAAATATGTAGGTCTATACCGAAAGGTAGTTAAATCCATTAAGAATGAAAATCAGGTATTACTTTTGTTCTATATGAGTTAAAACAACAATGATTTTAATAGATGCTTGCAAAATAAAATAAAGTTTTCTTAAGTAATCGCGTTTTGTCTTGTAGATTTATCAATTTCAGACTTATTCATTTATCAACTTCAGACTCATAATTCATGAATAATTATATATAAATATTAATGATTAAACAACAATATACAGGCATATTTTTATTGAATTCCCGTCATTAGTTCTGCAAAAGTTTTTTTATATTTTAAAAAAACTTTTGCAGAACTAATGACGGGCACTCGACTAATTCAGCACTCAACTAATTCAGCACTCGACAATAGTATTATTTTTTATTCATATTATATTAACCGTTGTATTTTGTTTTATATTTATTTTGTATCTTGAAAGTAATAATAGCATTACATGTTAAATATTTATTAGTTTATAGAGATAAACCCTAGAGGTAACATATATTTGTTAGATCGTGTATAACTTTCATTATGAACCTATTATATTATGACAAACATATAAAAGATAAATATTATTTGCTATTCCTTTCAGTATCTAATGAATAACATTTTAAACTTATGAGAGAATTTGTTTTCAAGACATTTTTAATTTCGCCCACCAGTGGCTAGTGGAGTAACGTTGGTAAATATTCTTCATTACATATATATTACAATGTCATAATTCTGTTTATTTATTGTTTAGATTGTGAGACCTGAGTTAGAGATTATTTTTATCAGGTTTTAAAAGTGAAATTTAGACATTTTGAAAAAAGACAATTAACTTAATAACGATTATGGTTCAGTCTTATAGGTAATCACCATCAATATTAATCACATCTCGCCACTTTTGCTGCAAACTTTCAATTTCGTGAGTATAAAATCACTGAGGGTATTCTTTGAAGAAAGTCTCGAGTGTCGTTCTCACATGATTGTCATTGAATTGTGTACTGACAATATGGTTCTGCATGGTGCGAAATATATGATAGACAATTGACAACATATCTAAGCTGTAAGATGAAGGAGAATCTCCGAGGTCCAAACTGGTCACTTCTCTAAGGTCATCTTTGCTCTACGTGCTGATGCGTTCTCGTGATGGTATCAGACTGTCAAGTTTTGTATTGGAACGCTCGACTTGTTCTAATTCTCTGGTGATCAACCATACATTACGTCTATCAGTTGCAGAAGAGCGTCGTCGTCAGTGGTGGAATCTCTTGCCTGGACGGGTTCGTTTTGGAGCGAAAAATCTCCATCCTTGAATTTCTTTAAATAATTGTGGCACTTCTTCCTGTCGACTGTGTCCGCGCCAAATATGTTGCTGGTGAAGTCGTAAATCTTCGTTTCTTTGTGACCACTTTTGAAGTGATAGAGCAACAGCAGGCAAATGTGTTCGTTCCAACGTTTCATATCGCCAGACATTTTTGATGCGCCTATTTCCATGAAATATGTAATGAAATGCTCATGATTACTTTACTTATATTAATATATACTCATGTCGAACGTTCTATAACATTTTTTTTCAGTCGTTTCCAAAAAACAAATCGAAATGTTTAAATTTTATCTTTACAACCCAACGGCTAATCCAGACATCTTCACGGAGGAGGCGATAAAAAAGATCGTTTTATGTAAGGTTCTTTCTATAAGTGCATAAACATTTTATTTCTATTTATTTATTTATTTATTTATTTGTATTGAATAATGAAGAAATCAAAAAGCAACACGCTGGGTACAATCTAATCCATCCAATACAAGCGAGCCATAGATGAGTTTGACAGTTTTAAGTTTTAATGTTTAAACACTGAGTTTTTGGGTTATTGGAATATTAGAAGCTTGGGGGACGATCGTCCCATCGCTCCCTTCTGAATCCGCGCCTGTTACAACCTGATATGTCTAATAATACGTCTGTCCAGAGGTACCATTGCAATAGTACTTGCATGTGTTGCATGCTTGTTCCAGCGCTAAAAGAACCAAAGGAAATCAATTTAAGACAATTTAGCATTATAAAAAAATAATATCTGACTGTAGCGGATAAAGAAATTTGCTGAAATTGATATATAAAGTGAGCTTTATTTTGCTGGAGAACATGCTCAAGACAACCGCCTTCAGTGGCAATATAAAGAGGTCGAGCGTAACGAATGTTGCTTTTATTTAAACGTCAAATTTTTTATAGAAATATAGCCAGGACAATACGTATAAACTTAGTAAATTTACAAAAATTCTGAAACAGAAAATACTTTAAAAGTGTCCTCAAACTTCGTCCTTTTCACACATCATCAGGAAATAACAGTCTCTCTGCAGAGTTGACATTACTTTAGAGGCTTGTCGTCCACCTCAATATGTAAAACGTTAAAATCTTTCCTGTAGCGACGGTTTAAACCGAAGTATGACCACACTTAAAGTATTGTCTATTTGAGAATTTTTGTAAATTTTCTGTTTATATCGATATTTCGGTTGATACGATATTAAGGCAGCGAAAAAACTATAGACGACACCTCTAAATATGTATTTTTCTCTTCTATATAAAAGTAAAATATTTACTGTAAAAATCACATTGATATTATTATATTATTTAAAAAAATTCGAATAATATTTATATTATATTGGAATTATATTACAAAGCCATGATAAACTGAATACTTTAAAAATAATTACAGAGTAAAAAGTTCCCAATAAGATTTGAATATATCGCCTAATTAAGTTTCTATCGTAATGTTATTAATTAAAATTTTAATAATAATTATTTTAGTAATAATTTAATTTTTATTGCAAATTATATTTATGTAGCAATATAATTACAATATTAACCTGAAGATAATTTCAAAGTTAAGTTAAATTATTACTGAAATAAAATTTTAATTGGTGTCATTTGAGAAAAGTATTTTTACTTTAATTATATATTAATGAACATGTTTAATAATGCTCTTATATAATATATTATATTCTTTTCTACTAAATTAAAATTATTAGTAAAATATCAATTTATTTTCTAATATATTATTAAAAGTGATTAGGTAATTTTATTAAAAATTTATTATTTTTATAATTATATTTTAAAGTAGGATAATTATAAAATTATTTTAATTATTTTAATAAAATGTTGTAAACCTTAAATAAATTAATATTAAGTACTTTCCCGGCAGACTATAAAAGGGGGATAAAAAAGGCAAGCTATATAATCTGAGTGGGACGGATAATTATCCCATGATAACGTCGAATGGCGGAGAGGTCGTGTCGATCCGGAAATAAAGGGAAGACAAATCCACTATTAACTAAATTATTTATTTGGACATATAGAGTATATACGAAACATTATAATAAGCTAACATAACTAAGTATAACGACTCTAATATATGGGCTAAATACTTCGGATTAACTAAATCCACAAAATGGCAAAACTATTCATTCAGCTAAACGCTTCCTAATCCCCTTTTTACTGGGGAGAGAGCTTACATAAGTTTCATATTTACCACTGAGTTTCTTCTTGTTTCTTCCTACGATGGGAGAGACGGAAACTCGGATGGGCTCGTATCTTCTAACAAAGGAGGTCCAATGGCTAATAGGACGACTAAAAGCTTAGGCTGATAGTCCTGACTAAGAGCCAAGATGGACGGAGGTTTCCATCTTTTATAGAAAATATGACCACCAATCGGGCTTGCTCCCGATGCGGTCATTTTCTAACTAACTTTCAATCTAGCAGGAACTTCAACATCCTCTGAATCACAGAAAAGAAAGGAGAGATGTCGATACTAGATATAATTTTCCTTTTTTTCCCTTTCATAAAATAAATCTAATTTTCTACTAAAATTTAAATCCTTCTACCCTTTAAATTGTTTCTTAGCCCAAGGTTCTCATAATATCAAAATGGCGTTAATCAAATTAAGTGGTACCTGGATACTCGATCGAACAAACAATCACGACTCTTTAGAACAAATTTTCGGTTAATTCGGATGATGTACTGTACTGTACAGGAGCAAGCCATTATTAATTTGCGGTGGAGAGCATATATTTTAAATTAAATATACATTAAAAATATGATAACAAATATTGCAGTCAGGCATTGTGACTGTCATAATAAATAATTGCTCGTGACAAATATTTTTATTTTTATTTTGTCATCAGTAAAACATTTTCCGTGATAGAAATGAGTAATTTAAAAACAAAATGAAACATTAGAAGTACCTTAAAGATTAATAAAAGAGCAACTTGATAACAAAAAGGGACACGTGCCCTTACTGTACATGGGCTCCTGGCTATATATAACAAAGGGAAAGTATGGCAAATCGGTCAAAAAATGACCCCAATATTTTTAAATTTTTGAATTCGGGACCTTGAAACTTGTTAGAATCTTAAAAACTCCTGTATTTTCGTCGAAAATTTATAAAATTTTGCAAAAAAGTTTATGTATTAGGGAGATTGATGCTATTAAATTTTGGTGGTTAAATGTCGACGAGATGGGAGATAGAGGGGGGTGTTCATTTGTCGTATCTCGAGTAGGGATGAACTTAATAAAGATTTCACTCATTATTAACACTTATAATTTTTTAAAATCAAAAAGGCATCTCTACCCCGAAAATTAACTTTTTGCCATTTTATAATTAATAATATAACAGATATATCGTAATATTTTAATAAAATATCGAACAAATAGAGCCACTACAATTAAAATAAAATTTTTGCAGGGAAAGTTACGAAACTCTTTTCTGGAGTTTTTTCATTTTTGTTCCGAGTAAATACATAATAATAATAGTAATTATTACATAATTTTTCATTATTTTTAATCACAGAAGCTGAATTAATTTTAGGAAAAAAATGTTATTGAAACTTTTTCTGGAACTTAAAATATCTTTTTATGTTATTCATCATAATTTTCATCGATATTAGACCGAAAGATGTTTATATATTAAATAATTTTTACGTGTAATCATTCGCATTAGTAATTTTATGTGTCAATCTGAAGACTTAAAAGTCTTTTCTCAATGTGATCTCGATTACTTAGATCCATTGCAGTTTGATAAGCTTCATATCTCTACCAACTGGCTATTAATATAACTATTAGATTAAATTAAAAAATTTTTACAAAGGGGAGGGGAAATTGCAGTTTGATAAGCTTCATATCTCTACCAACTGGCTATTAATATAACTATTAGATTAAATTAAATTTCTTCTTGATCTATATTTTATTTTGATTTAATTCTCTGTTATATATTTCCAGAAAGGGACAAAATCAACATTTATATAACGTTTACAATTCAACTTACAATCATCTAAATGTAACTTATCTTCCAAAATAAAAAAACATCAGCAAATATCTCTGTAAATCTAGTAAATTCTATCGGATATTTTAGCTAAAAGAAATCAACGAAGAAGAATATATCACTTTATTGATATTTGAAATAAAAATTGTATTACACAGATCTATAAATAATCTATTCTAATATTATATAAAATTTGTAAACTGTTTATTCACTTGACTGACGACAAATATATGACATTTTATGCGAAATAAAATGATTATTAGATAATCAGTCTACTTATTTATTTATAGAAAAGAAGTATGTGTTTCTTGTGTTGTCTTTTTATTGGAAATAGAAAATAAATTCTACTGTAGCCCAAAGGGCTAAATACTTTGTTGAGTTTGGTAAAAACATCTCCAATTTCGAATATTTTAAAAATATAATTTATTGCTAACTTTGCTTTTACAAAATTGAAAAATATAAACTTATAATAAGTTTTTCAATTTTGGAAAGAAAAACATGATATTCATTCCTTCCTACATCATTTACTTAAAAGATTTTGTAACACGAGTTTGGTTGCACGCACTCCATATTTTTGAATTTTAACCAAAGACATAGTTGAAACTAAAAAAAAATATGTTTTTTTTTTACTATCCTGGCTTTTATATATAATAGGAAGAAAGTATGGCGATCGGTCAAAAAATAACCCTTCAAGATTTTTACATTTTTGGATTCAGGGCACCCTGAAACGTCGTGAAATGAAAAAAAAAATTCGTAGGTAATTTCTGTATGTATGGATGTTAGTGTGTGTGTGTGAGTGGGGGCGATTTTCTTCACCATGATTGAAGCTTAATAACTCCTGTGCTTTTTGTCTAAAATTTCTGAAATTTTGCAGGGAGGTTTGCTTATTAGGGGGATTGATGCTATTAAATTTTGGTGATTAAAGATCGAGGGGTGGAGAGAGAATGAAGGTCGTGTGTATCTCCAGTAGGGTCAGACTTAATGACAATTTTACTCGTTATTAGCATTTACATTTTTTTTTAAATCCAANCAATTTATAATAATTATAATAATTAAAAATATAAAAAGTTTTTAATAATAATATATCATAACAGATGGCACCACACACGCAGTTTTAAATGTTGTCGGGAAAGTTAAGTAACTCGTTGCTGGATTTTTTTTATTAAAAAAATAATGATGATAGTAATAAAATAGAAACACTCGATTTTTCAGAAATAATAAAGCTTGATATTGTGATCATCAATTGATTCAGATACTAAATTAATTTTGAATAAATTACATCATAATGAAATATCATAACATATGTCACCACACACGCAGTTTTAAATGTTGCCGAGAAAGTTAAGCAACACGTTACTGGATGAAGTATCTGTAATCTGACATATATCGGTGGGTGTTGGATTACTGGATTTTGTTTGTACAGTACTTACGTACTGTAAAGTAAAAAACGCACTTAGTTCACAGGTTAGTGTATCGTATTAATTACGAGTGTGACTGTTTTGGCGAGTGACGGATTAAAGACACTACTCTATTAATAAAATGAAAACATGTGACGTTTTGCCTCATTGACATCTTTTAGCTGAAATATTCTGTAAAATATTCTAAAAGTAATTTGAAAATTAGTTACCAACATTGAAAACAAAAATAATAAACAATATTTTTAGCGAGAAATTGAATCAGAAAGAGCTTAATCTTTATAAATTCCTCATAAAACATATAACAGTCCTAAACTATCAATATAGCAAAGTTAATACTTGATAATAACAATTACCGTAACTTGGATTTTTTAATTAAATGAAAGAATGTAAGTTATTTAATTTAGCTTTGAAATAATCAGTTTTAACTTAATTTAATTATCATTGATCATATAACGATACAACAACTTCTTTAGTAAGACGTGCAGTAGATGAAATTTATTATTATTAATGACGAATGCATTATCTCTATCCTATGAGACTTTTTCGAGGAAGGGAAACGTTTTTGTAATCGATCATACAATGCAAGAGCATCCAATCATCTATCTTTTCTACCACGAAACTCAGACTATTGAAGAAAGGCTTGTGAAAAGACAGCTGCCTGTCTCTGAAAGATAATTCTTCGAGAGAGAAAGTCGTATTTGGAAAGATGCTGTGATTTCCCAAGATATAGCAAATTTCTAGTCAATCAGCGGCTGTAGATATAGATCAGAGTTTCTCGAAGATAAGGGACAAGGACAAAAATGCAATAGGAAGTGTCTCTAGTAAACACCGTATCAAGTAACGCTTACAGCCAGCATTGATTTTATTGATATATTATTAACTTAATTCATTTTCTAAGATGCAAATTGTGTGTGACAGAAATTAAGTATCAATAAACTATCAATATTTTATTAAAATTAATAAACTTTTATTATTAGATAATTTTAGTATTAAGCATGAACGATTGGATGATTTTACTGTATTACTGGCCAGGTTTGCTGGAAAATGTTGTAATTATGGTATTCCGTTTGTATTTTAATCGGTTCCGGCATACAATTTTATTGATCAGAAATCTGCAAAAGTCAAAATCTTATATTAAAATCTAGACGCCTAAACAGCCTTAATATACTGATAATTCGTGTTCCCAAGCCAACCATAAATATTAAAAATGTATATTAAAATTTTACTAAATGACTTTATTAAATATTTCTTTTTATTATAGAGAATGCTTAAGATTTATTGATAAAATATATACCTTAACAATTATAGGAAAACAGTTTTTTTCCAGTAAATACTAAAGTAATTTCTAAAGTTTTTCGTTGCAAAGTCAGACATGTCAGAAATATAATAAACTTCGACATGGACGCTTTTAATAGCACGTACAATGTCCAATCTGTATTAATTTTTTGCCAGGTATTTTGCAGCATATCTGTAACCACTGCATTCATTATCCAGTGTTTCAACTTTGCAATGTCAGTACTGTATAAAATATTTTAAAATAATTAATTTGCAGGGAGGTTTATGTATTAGGGAGATTGATGCTATTAAATTTTGGTGGTTAAATGTCGACGAGAAATGACCCCAATATTTTTAAATTTTTGAATTCGGGACCTTGAAACTTGTTAGAATCTTAAAAACTCCTGTATTTTCGTCGAAAATTTATAAAATTTTGCAAAAAAGTTTATGTATTAGGGAGATTGATGCTATTAAATTTTGGTGGTTAAATGTCGACGAGATGGGAGATAGAGGGGGGTGTTCATTTGTCGTATCTCGAGTAGGGATGAACTTAATAAAGATTTCACTCATTATTAACACTTATAATTTTTTAAAATCAAAAAGGCATCTCTACCCCGAAAATTAACTTTTTGCCATTTTATAATTAATAATATAACAGATATATCGTAATATTTTAATAAAATATCGAACAAATAGAGCCACTACAATTAAAATAAAATTTTTGCAGGGAAAGTTACGAAACTCTTTTCTGGAGTTTTTTCATTTTTGTTCCGAGTAAATACATAATAATAATAGTAATTATTACATAATTTTTCATTATTTTTAATCACAGAAGCTGAATTAATTTTAGGAAAAAAATGTTATTGAAAC